TTTTTTTTGACGACCAACAAAGGGAATATTCTAAACACTTGAGACACAGAAATACCTTTGAACACTTTCACTCGAAGATTTCAAAATAAATATACAGTAATTACATAAATAAATTATGCAAATGGAAATCTAATATTGTAGTAACAAAATCTTAACGGAATTCAACTATCATTTGCCGAAGTATTTTAACAAAGCAACAAATATTATTGACAACCTTTCGTGAAAGCGAACATCTCGAAGTAAAATCTTTCTCTCAAAAGACTCATACATACGTGCTCAAACATAGGCAGTAGCGCTCAGGACAGAGAGTCGCAGAACCGTAGTGGCCGCTGGCAACAGCACAGACTTCGGAGCTTAGCGACGACGAGACCACCTTCGACGCGTCACGATCACCGCTCCTCGGCTGATTCGCCAAGTTGACCGGCCTCCGGTTGAGGTCGCACTATCTGGTAGGTGATTAGATACTCGGGATAAGCTTGTTCACCTCTGTAGACGACGTACTCGGGGAAGACGAGGCCACCCTGCGACGGTCGACCCATAACGCTGTGGTGACCTGGTGGAGCGTGTGCCATTTTCATAGCCGAAAACTGCAAGAACGATTTGCCCAACGTCACCCGGCACAACAACAAATGCCTGAAACAAAAACATTTTCATTAGAGTCGTCGAAGGTCTGATAAAACAGATTCGCGCGTGGGAATTATTTTCCGTACCTGTGGCAAATGTAACAACTACGATCCTTGTGTACAGGACATCCCGTTCCACCGCAAATTCCATACACGTACTGATTACTTTTGCTGCTGTGCTCAGCAAAATATATCCCAGCACCAAACATACCACCAATGTACGCGTGACGTTCGTCAAAGCCTTTTTGTACGATGGCGTTGATAAACGGACTACCGTGGAAGAGCATTCGTTCATTTGCCTGGGAAATCGCCGTTGTGCCGTTGACGCGAGTTGACGTCGCGCCAGGGGAAGTGGAGCCTGTCATTACCGCAACCTCTTCTGCCACCTCTTGTCGACGATGGGTGTAACGTTCCCAGAGTTTGCGATTCTGAACTTTTTGAATCTAAAGAAAAAAAAAAATAATTATAATAATCGCAGTTTTTCATTGGTAGAATCGATAGACATAACAATTTGTATGATCATTCAAAATGATAGTTTTTATTTTGTTTCCTTTACAGTGGTATGTCTCGTGACCAACGTGTAGAAAAAAATTACTCTTACTAACTTACTAAATTANAATAATAATAATAATAATATTCAAAGGATTTTTCAACGTGATCTACGGAAAAGTGTAATGTATAACATGTGTTTACCCTGACGATATTATAACGTGAAAATATGCCCCCCGAATGGCCGTTATCCCTGTGTTCTCTGATGGTGCTCTGCATCTCCTCCTCGACAGCGAGAAACTCCTTATCCTCCGCAAGTAAATCAACCAAAAGCGTGCCAGGACTGATACTCGGCTGCCAGATCGATCCGGCTGTCGAGTTGAGGAGCTTCTCCATACCCTTGAGGAGCTTGTGCCGGTAGCCGTAAGCCAAAATTCCAACCTGCTTGAGATCCTCGTGGCCCATCTCCGCCAAAATATCCAGAGTTATCTGCTCACGCTCAAATAACTCTGATAAATGTTCCAAGCCGAGGCTCTGCAGGAAGGTTGCGACGCTGGTTATGGCGTTGCCGCCTGATCCGGAGACTATGCGCGTATCATCGACGGAGATGCAGGAATCTTTCGAGGATGGTTCACTTCGTTCCGAGCCACAGTTCTCCATGCCCAAAGGACTGATACACGAGCTTCTTCGAGAAAGCGGTACGCATAGCGTCATTGCTACACCCGATGGCATTATCACTGTTTCCTGACTCAACGACGGCGGTGGGGAAACTGCAAAACAAACAAGTCATTGAAACGCGTGACTTTGATAACGCGACCGCACGAATATGAAACTAAAGAAAGGATAACACTAACCAGCAACGCTGCTGGGCGACCTGCTTGATCCACTGGTGCTGAGAGCAACAGAGGACAGAGATGGGACAACCTGTTGCGAGGCCATCGCGTCCTGCAGTAAACTCCTCACGTCATCAGCACCGGCTAGATCCACAGGACTCTGACCTTCTTGATTCTTCAAGAAAGGATCGGCACCGTGGGCCAATAACAAAGCGCAAAGCTGCGTCCTACCCTTCTGAGCAGCTTCGTGCAGTGGCGTGAAACCCCACTTGTCAGTAGCGTTTACCACCGTGTTGTATTTGATGAGCAGAGCTGCGATGTCCAAGTGTCCGTAGCTCGACGCATTGTGCAAGGGTATGAGGCCACCCTTGTCCTGCGCGTTCACATCTGCACCACGTTCCAATAGAAACTCGGCTACCTCCAAATTGTTATAACCAGCTACAACAACAAACACTCTTTGTGAATATCAAGTAGTCTACAATATTTTTATATCGATTTAAATCAGTAACGTACCCGCTAAATGTAGCGGCGTGCTATTCCTGCCCTGTGCATCCCTACAGTTGATGTTTTCCTGAGTAACGAGCCTTTGCACCCTAGCCAGATTTCCCTTTTTCGCAGCATCGAGTAGCGCACTATTACCCCTGAGCAGGTCGGCAACGTCCTGATCACCCTCGCGTACGAGATCGAGCGGTGTCGCACCATCCCGATTCTTTTTGGTGGCGTCAGCACCGTGGCGTAAAAGCAGCCGTACAATCTCGCACTTGCCCTTTACCGCGGCTTCGTGCAATGGTGTGAACTTCCACAAATCGGCCACGTTGACGGAGGCACCATGTTTCACCAGCAACTCTGTCACCTCGTAGTGACCATAGGAACATGCGTTGTGCAGAGGAACGAGTCCTCTGTGAGATGAAAAAAAAAACCTCATGTTTTTAGTTTACAACTATTATTAGTGGATGGTTGAACACATACCCTTTGTCCTTTGCGTGCACGTCCGCGCCATGAGCCAGGAGATATTCAACGACAGCGACGCGATTGTAGCCAGCAGCAAAGTGTAGAGGCGTAGAGTGTCGACCGTCAAGGTCGCGACAGTTGACGGCGTGAGGATTGGCCTGGAGGATTCGCTCGACCGCTGGTAGATCTCCCGCCTTACTCGCCTCCAGCAGCTGGCTTTCAATGTCGTTGGACCTGCTCGCTGGATCTTAAATATTTCAAAGTTTGAATGAATGAAGAGGAAAAAACAAAAGTGCTCATGAGATTTAGTGTTACAGTATCAAGGTAGTGGGTAAAAAACGTCACCAGGACTTTTGATGCAAAGTTTCAGCTTTTGAATGAAAAGACACATTTCGTTTTGTATAGCGCCCTGGGAAAGTGAGTGTTTGTTTTATCACAACAAATTTCCGAATAAAACAGAGAGAAGACACTGTTAAGCAATAGCTTGCGCCGAGCATTCTTAGAAGACCTTAAAGTCTATTGCCAAAAGTTTAAAAATAAACTCGAACGTGCGAAATATTTCATTCATTTTGCATAATTCTTGAAGAAGTTTGCTATAGCGGCATTTACGAGACTAATCGTGTGTAACGCTTCGAAAAAAATTACATAATAATAAAAAAAAAGTGTTTTTGACTAAGTGACGTGAAGTATACAGTTTGATCATCTTCACGTAACTATGTTTGAAAATGCATGTCTTAATGAAACAAGTAATTAATGACAAATGTTTATGGTTACCTTGTAACATTTTGAGAACGTTCTCCGCAGCAACCTGGGCCGCCGTGTAACCTTGAAGAGACACGGTCTTTTGGTCAATGCCGTTGCTCAAGAGTATCCTGCAAGCTTGCACATTGTCTTCCCTTGCGCATCTACCGAATCAAAGTTATAAATTGTAATTTTATTTTTTGTTTATGGTGATTGAATAAAAAAAAAAAATAAAAATAAAAAAAACCTCTTTCACACACCTGTGCAAGGCCGTCTGACCAAGTCCATCGAGCACATTGATCTTGGCATTGTGAAGTATTAGCACCTCCATGACGTCGAGGTGGCCTTGATCGGCGGCCACGTGTAATGGTGCAACAAAGTTTTTGTTCTTCTCATTTAACGGCGCATTTTTCCTTATTAGCATTTCGACGATTTGTTTACGCTTAGGGTAGGGGGACGCTACCGCGCAATGCATCGGCGTGTCCCCCGTGAACGGATGCTTAAAGTTAGCCACCTCGGCAGACAGGTACTTTTTTATCTTGGTCGGATCGGCCTGTCTACAAGCGTCTAGTAGACAGTGGCCCTTGTACTCGTCTGCAGAACCCAAGTTAAAAAAAAAAAATACCATCAATCAACACTATGTCTGTAACCAGGAGAAGTCATCAATTCGAATAAACTTACAAGCTAATCTTTCTTGGAGTTCTAGCGTAGGTGCCACGTCGATGGCGCTCTTGCCATGGCAGTTGAGCTGTGTCGGATCGGCACCTTCGCTCAATAGCAAAGAGCACACTTCTGCTCTGGATTTACTTGCTGCCTCGTGCAGTGGCGTAAACGCCCAGAGATCGCTCGCGTTCACCGCTGCTCCGTGTTTCATCAGCGTTTCCGTCACCTCAAAATGTCCGTATGAACAAGCGTTGTGCAACGGCACTAAACCCCTACAATGACACTTGCACTGAACGAAAGACTGCATTTTTTTCTTAAACCATGTACTGATTAAGGATTTTCTTACCCTTTATCTTTGGCATGTACGTCCGCACCATTTTGCAAGAGCGTTCTCACGATTAGTAAGCGATTGTAACCAGCCGCTAAATGCAACGGAGTTGACCGACGACCATCGCTGGCGTGGCAGTTTACATTGAGAGGATTTAGTAACTGGACGAGCCTTTCTTCGTTGCCCGACCTCGCGGCTTCCAACAGCTCGTCCTTTTTGTACTCACCTGTTAAAACTAACTTTGTTGCTGGATCCGCTAATTCTAAAGCAGTCTTACCCTCAGTGTTGCGGATATTTGGATCCGCGCCGTGTTGTAGCAATGCTATACACACGTCTATCTTACCCTGCAATATCAATTGTATAATGTTTTAAATCTAAAAATTTATACCAAAATACATTTGCGTTCATAAGTAAGAGTAGTATAAAAAACTATTGATTTATCACCTTAATAGCAGCTTCATGCAAAGGAGTGTAATTCCAATTGTCCCTGGTGTTTGGATTGGCTCCAGCTTCAAGTAAAAGTCTTACAACGTCAGAGTGACCAAAGGAACAGGCATTGTGCAAAGGATGCAGGCCTCCATCATCTCTGGCTTGAATCGATGCTCCAGCCACTAGTAGATACTCCACGACCTCTCTCCTTCCGTAACCTATGGCAAAAATAATATGTACTTAAACATAAAAATGTTTATTGAGATTAATAAGGTAATTTTTAAAAATATTTAATTTCTCCAACTTGTAAAAAAAATCAACACCAAACTCTCTCGTTCAATGAAAATAAAAAAAATAATAAAAAAATTATTTTTAAAAAATTTGCGAGGTATATTACTACTTCTCGAAATTTAAGAAAAAAGGTTGCTAACCATCCTGTCGCTCTATGGCTAGGTGGACATGGCTGAATCTTTAAATAACATTATACTCTACTCGCCATCGAACCACGACTTAAAGATCAAAAACATTAAAAACCCCATTCTAATCTCAAAATAGAACCTTGAAGTGTAAGTACAAGTATATAGTACATAGGCATCAACACCTCGAAGGCACCGACCGTCGCTCCATCCAATCACAAAACTATAAAACTGTCTACCTAGCAACAACAATGGATCTCAATAAAACCGTAGGTATGTAGTAGGTATAAATATATGTGCCTACAGTGTACACCTGTGCACATTATCCCTCTTCTTTCTTTTGCTCGTAATATTTGTTATGTTATAAGCATGTCACACATATAAAAATGCAACAAATACTCCTTTTTGTTCAGCACCTGTCTTGTTTTAAATCATAACGTAGTGAAATCCCTTATGGAGCACAAAAAAAAAAAAAAGAGAGGGAACGAAAACAAAATGATCGCTATAACTTATTCTGCTGATGCGCGACAATAATATAAACAAAACAAAACGAAGAAAAGGGCACTGACCAGCAGCAAAGTGCAGAGGTGTGGACTTGCGTCCGGCAGTGTCGCGGGCGTTGACCGTTTTGGAGTTGACGAGTTTCTTGACGCGGCCAAGGTCGCCGGTTTTGCAGGCCTCGAAGAGCTCTCTCAGTGGGTCGACACTACCCGCACCAGCAGCTGACGATCCAGCATTAGCTCCTGGTCCTCCGCCTCCTTGGGATAGCAGCAGCAGCTGCTGCTGCTGTTGTTGCTGTTGTTGTTGTTGTTGGTGGTGATGGTGTCCGAGTGGAGCAGCGCTCGTGTTGCTGGTGAGGCTCTCCGCGCTCAGGACCGACCTCCGTCCAGCCATTTCACAGCGCCATATTTTCACCAGCACATTCTTTCCTCTCTCGCCTCGTCTATGCGCCTCTATCACGAGTCTCACGACACCCACGATACAACACTGCACACACCACTTGCTTCTATTATACTAAGCTGACGCCTAATACTCTACACACTTGGGACGTTTTCCTCCTCTTCTACGCGAAGCGCACCTCCTTTTGCTATCTCGCTTGCTTATAAATTCGCAAGGCCTCTCTCGCACTCCTCGCTCTTCCGCGAGTCGCGACCTGGGACCTGGGACAACTACATGTATGTATATACATTCATACAGAAATGAGATTATCTGCCGAGTCTAATCCCAGGATGACAGACTTCTCGCTTATCGACAATACCGACATATCATTCATTGGTCAGGAAGGGGCGAGGCTGGGGTGGGGGGGAGGGAGAAGAAAAGTACCGCATCACATGATCAGATGCGGTGAGGACTGAGAAGAGTGTGGGCTGGTGCCGCAGTTTATTATTGTTTACATGTATTACCAGTATACCTGTTGGAAAGTGATTTTTTTCTTAGGAGTTTAGAATAATCAGTTAAAAAATCACGTCTTTGTAAAGTTTGCAGCTCAATGTTGCGGCTTTCGTTCACTGCTTACTCGTTTTAATGTGTAAAAGTAACGAAAATCGGTTTTTGGAGCCCAAACATTGTTGTGGTATGTGAGATGTAATCAAATGTTCACTGCTTGAATTGTGTTTTTTCAAGTTTTTTTTGACCCAAAACTGTCTTCAATACAGATTAAAAATTTATCATGTTTCAAGTAAAGACCAGTGCTACACTTCTTTAACGTTGTAGTGAGCGAATAAATTTGATACAAAACTTAACCTTATTTAGAACTAAAACTGTATTATTTCTTGTGAAAATATATTAATTTTTTTATTTCATTTTTTAACAGAATGACGCAGTACTAGTTTCTGCGATACTAGTATTATTGATTAAAAATGGCGGAAAAACCAAAATCAAGTTATGTCCCTAAACATGTCCCCAAAGATGCTCAAGTTATTGTGTCAATTATGAAAGATATGGGCATTACTGATTATGAACCTAAAGTTATCAATCAATTATTAGAGTTTACTTATCGTGAGTACACGCAACATTACAAAATACTTTTAAATTTCTCAATTATAGTTATAATATTTTTTTAGGGTATATAACGTCTATTCTCGATGACAGCAGAATTTACGCAAATCATGGAAAAAAGAAAGTCATTGATCTTGACGATGTTAGACTTGCAGTCAAGCTACAACTGGACAGTACGTTTACAAATCCGCCTCCTAGGGATGTTTTAATAGAGGTTGCTAAGGCAAGAAATTCTGTTCCATTGCCATTTGTCAAACCAAGCAATGGACTCAGGTTGCCACCCGACCGTTACTGCTTAAACAATACCAACTACAGGCTCAAGTCTCCTATAAAGAAACCCGGTAAAGGAGGAGGATACACGACTTTTGGAAATCAAACTAGGTTTAAAGTCGACACTCACAAGGGCTACTCCATTATTAAGAGACCTTCGTCATTTTCAACTATGGCCAGAACTCAAACAATTTCTATTCCAAAACCCGTAGTAAAGCTAGCCACAAGTAAATTTGAAAAATAACTGTATGAATGACGAATAGTGATTTTGATATCATGAATTAAAACATCAATCGTCAATTTTCTTTTTCAGACTCTGTAAACCATTCTAATGCTACAAAGCTACAACAATCAATGCAATCTCAAATGACACCTCTGTCAGAGCATAATCAGCCAATGATGAAAATGGATTTAGAGGAATCCATTAAAAGAAAGAGGGAGGAGGAAGATTATGATGTCCCGTAAATTTTTTTTTTCTGATTCTTAATTATAGTGCCATGAGAGTTTACTGAAAGCTAAATTTTTATACTACTTTTTTACGATAGCTAAGCGATTTAATCGATTGTAGCTTTTTTCTTGACTACTTTTTTTTTTTTAATTACAAATTACAATTAAGAGGTAAGGTTTGTAGACATCGAAAAAATGTGACTAATTAGATGCCATATTTCTTTGAAATTTAGTGCGTGACCAAAACACGTGTAATTAGTGTAAGCCAAACTTATTTATTTCCGCATGTACCTGATTTATTTACTCAATGATCATTTCTACGTTTTAGTAGACGCGGACTTTTCCCCTCATCATTATCCCAACGAAATGCTCATTCGTCTTTAAGTATTTATCATTCTTTTTTTTTTTTTTTTTTAAGCATTAATGTACTTCAGTAAACTCTCACCAACCAATAAAAAAAAAAAAAAATTGCCATACCGTAAAGAAAAATTGTTTCTCTTTATTCAAATACATACTAAAAAAGTGAAAAAAAAAAAAAAAAAAAAAAATATCCCTCCTCCTCGATACCCGCCTCGCTGCGTCCTGCAACCTCGTCTCCCTTGTCGGCACCGTCCTCAGCCTCGCCTCCCCTATCGCCATTATCCTCCGCCTGGCCACCTCCGTCGGCATCCTCGCGATCCCCCCCGGCACTTTCCTCTCCGTCCAGCGCCGTTTTCTCCAACCTCGGCTCGTCGTCGTCGTAGTATCCCCCAATCGGCTCATCGTCACCCTCGCCCAGAGCAATGATCATCGAGCCGTGCCCGATCGACGGAGCTTGCGACGGAACGTCCGGCGGCTCCTCCTCTATCCTCGCAAGCATCGGGTCCAAGTACCCCATACCCTCTGGCCCCTCGTCCTCCTCCTCCTCCTCTTCGTACTCGCCTTCGAAGAGATCGGCAAACGCTATCGAGCCGGTCTTCTTACCCGGTGGCGGAACTTCTTCGTCCTCGGCTTTGCTCTTACGGCTTCCATGGCCCACGGGCAGGAACATCTTGAGATTCTGCGGCACGTACTGGCTCTCGTATATCCTTCATCGAAGATATCATCAGATGTGTGCGCGTACATAAAAATGATAAAATATATCTCGAGAGATGTGCGGTTGGTACTTGTCGTGAAAGTAAATGACGCGGATCCGACAGTTGGCGTGTATCTGTATCCTCGTAGCCTCGACGTATTTGCTCCTGAAGAGCTTGCCCGTCAAATCGTCCAGGTCGATGCTCATTTCGTTCCAGCCTTGTTTCAGGCAGAGCGGCAACGAGGCGCTAAAGTGCTGGATGCGGTGCCGACTCTCAAAATTGCTTAACCTGATGCGCCGGTGGACGTTGCGGTCGTCCAGGACCTGCGGTTGTATATAATGCTTTACACATCGAATACGCAAGTTTTAAAGAAACATACGCACCGTGATTTCTACGGTGAAGTACTTGTTCATGTTTTTGATGACCAACTCGATGTATTTCATGTTGATGCCGAGGGAGGCACGGCGCTTTCGGGGACAGCGCAAGTAACACGTCGACACGTTCGTGCTGGACAACTCGATGGCCAGTGATCGCACTTGCTCGTCCGTCACGCGGCGCACGAAGCCGTTTCGCTCCACCTTGAATTGTTTGGTTGGTACATATAAGGTACACTTTTGTTTGTCCATCGGATATAAGGATACGTGTTTTTTTTTTTTTTTTTTTTTTTTTTTTTTTTTTTTTTTTTTTTTTTTTTTTTTTTTTTTTTTTTTAGTAACCAACTTTCATTTCCCACTGCTCCAGGGGGGACGGCCCGAAGCTCTGGAGTACAGGAATAAAGCCAACCTGCCGCACCCTACGGTACATTGTGGCTATGACGCGCTGCCTCCCGCAGGTCACTCGTTATGTTTACTTCTATGTACTTGTAAATCCTGCTTACGCGACAGCATCACTCGATGATAATCAGTTCGCGGATATGTCAACTGATGTGCCATCCAACTATAGATCCAACTTCACTTTCCTTCGATGTCACAGTTTTGATATTTGAATGACGATCTCAACTCATTCGAATTTTTCCCACCGTACACGTCATCTGCACATTTTAAATACATATATACATATATATATGTCCTTGACAGACATGTGTGCGTTTGGCGTCTGATTTTGGTGATATGTTTTCTCTTTAGAATAATGTAAAACGTGTTATAAATAATAATATTTAGATTAGTTGATTGTTTTCATCTCTTTCTATTAATAGCTCAAAGGTACGTGTCTCGGGCAATAATTGGAATGATAATATTCTCACGTTTATGTTCATCAACACTGTAGTTTTATTATTCTAACCTATAATAATTTGTTTTTGGTTTACAGGTCTATATGTTGTTGTTTTAAACGTTGTTGCTGAATTGCGGAAAAGGACAATAAAAATGTCTGAAAAATCTAAAAGCATAGGGCATGCCAAACACATCCCGAAGGATGCACAGGTTATTGTGTCAATAATGAAAGACATGGGTATCACGGATTACGAACCCAAAGTGATAAATCAACTTTTAGAGTTCACTTATAGTGAGTGTCTTGCTGATTTTTGCGAATTTCAAGATCTTTGGTAATTCATCAATACATTCTTTGCAGGGTATGTTACTTGTATTTTGGACGACAGCAAGGTTTATGCCAACCATGGCAAGAAAAAATTGATAGACTTGGATGACGTGCGCCTTGCCGTTAAGATGCAGACAGAAAAGTCTTTCACGAATCCGCCACCAAGAGAAGTATTAATAGAAGTTGCCAAAGTTAAGAACAGTACGCCTTTGCCTTTTGTCAAACCGAGCTATGGACTTCGATTGCCACCGGATCGTTACTGTTTGATGGGTACCAATTACAAATTCAAGTCTATGCTTAAGAAAAGTGGAAGAGGAGGCAATACTAATACAGCTGGAGGAAGGGGTTATTCTGTTGTAAAACGACCTGGTACTCTGAGCTCGCTGTCTAGACCCCAGCACATTACTCTACAAAAACCGACCATAAAATCTGTCACCTGTAAGTTTTTAGTGTTCTTTCCTTCATACAAAACATTGATTTCTAGTGGGAGTATTGACAATTAATTTAAATTTTTAAAGCTCCTGCAAACACAATAACAATTCACCAACAAATGAAGGCAAAGATACCTCAGGTTTCTGAAATGATACCTGTTATGACAGCACCACAGCCACCAGGAAATGTGAAATCCGAGCCCAACGAGACCAACAAAAGAAAACACGAAGATGACGATTATGATGTTCCATAGAAATATTTCTCGTTTTACACGTTTTTAATGTACCATGGATACGTTAAATTATTTTTATATTCGTAAGTAAGGATGTGAAATTTTAATATTGAAGTCTTTCAAATGATACTACGTTTGTTCATCTCTTATGATGCTTAAAGTATAATTAAGGTCATGTTATTAAAAATAAAAAATATATAACTGATTTTAAAAAGTTAAAAGGTTTTAAAGGTAAAATAAAGACTAATTATAATATCCAGTGTTATCGATCATCTACTTATTTTCTTTTTTTACTCCAAACTTGGATGACGTGCATTATTATTTGCGCTATACAGTTTTGATCTATTTATTTTTTTTTTATTTCGTTGATATCAAATTACAAAATAATTCAGTTGTCGCTCTTTCGTCGAAAAAGTTAGTCCATGGTAAAGAGAAGATCCAACCTTATGCCATCAATTGCACGTACTTTGAGTGCAATCATGTGATTTAACTCCCGGTTGAATTGTCTTGCGTATGCTCGCTTCTTTCGTGCAAGGCGCTGGCGGCAGATCACGTCGCTGTAATGAAAAAATGTATCAGTTTTTAGTTGAAACTGCTAAATCAGAAAAAAAATTTGTTAAATCAGCCTGAGAATAGCCCGAGACTTTGCTTGAAAAACACAATTCAGTACTTAAAAATCACCTCAAGTTAACAACATGAAATTGCGTCGTAAATATCAGCCAATAAAAAAAGAAAAATGATGCTGGTAGTAAAAATTTGATGATAAATAGTTAAATAATAACAAGTTACTAGGGAAACGAGAGTAGTTTGGTGTAACTCGGGTGAATCGACGATTCGCTCGTGCCCAGCCCCGACACTGCTTTTCCACCCTCCTTATTGCTCGCCTCGTCCATTTTCACAAGTATTCATCCATTTGTTTATTCATCCGATTCCACCGACTTGGATACCCCCTGCTTTTATTCGGGACAAAAACTGTACGTCCTCCTTGGATCGTATCGCGCGTGTCCCCCGGCGCGAGTGTCGAGCGATGATAAAACACCCGAGTTCAATCGAGGCGGAAAAAGAAAAGCCGCGTTTCCGGCTGCTCTCTTCTATCGATTTGTTTCGAGCGTTGCTATAAGTACCCGTGAGCTCACGAGGATTTGAATGGCGCCAACCTGAAGAAAAAAAAGACTATCCGATTCGTCGTTGCTGCCGCACGCGATAACGTGCTGTTACATACTTCCTTCTTTCTTTTCTTTTTTTTGCTCCAGGATTTTTTGTGCGCGACAATACGTAGGGAATTGTAGCGAGTTGGAATTTACTCCTATAAATGTATGGTTAATTTTATGGAAATATCGGTTTGGAACAAAAAAAAATGACATGCGTCTTGTCGATGCAGTTGAAGTAAAGTTACGATCAACAGGTTTTTTCATAGTTTTTTGGCACAGAAAGTACGATATTTCAAAGTACGTGGCTGGTGCTTTCAAATTTTACGTACCGTTTCATATTAAAGTACTTACTAATACAATCAACACGTGGTTACAGCGTTTGTTTCAATAATTTTTCCATAATTTTTTGATCGTCTTTCGAAGTTTTTCTATTTTGAAAAATATGTAACATCGTGACAAATAAAGATAAACGACAAAGTATGAAAAGGCTTTTTTGTTTTTTGATGTGTTTCAATCTTTTAATATTTTTAAGATGGATTGTTCCGAATTATTTCTCTTTGAATGACAAAGATACCTTATAACGTAGTAAATAGGAAACTCGAACTACCTTACTGGAAATATATGTAATCCTCGTTATTAATAAATGATTATTTCTTCCATAATGATGTATGTACTTTTTTTTTTTTTTCAGAAAAAAAAATATAAAATCTTTCAAAGCCTCGTGAATCGTACAATTAAAAACAGTCGCATTCCGAAAAAAAAAAAAAAAAAAAAAAAATCACCGTTTCCCCAAATGGATTATTAACAAAAACTGTAATCGTCAAATCCAAATGTACAACCTTTTACATCAACCGTAATAACGAGCAAAGCGCAAACATATCATTATACGTCCACCTCAGCTGCTCTACATATAGTTATATGTTTGCGCCAACCGTTAAGCTACCCTCGTAACTAGTTACCAAAAGCAGATGATGTTACTTGGTATATCCCATCAAGCACATAGACAGCGAAACGATTTATTGAACACGCCATAGCCAAAAGGGTGCCCTTCCACGCCTCGTCCTGTTTTTTTTTTTTTTTTTTTTTTTTTGCCCGCCCTGGAACTAATGCGAAATGAGTTGTAGGGAGGCGAGGATCTCGGTCCATATGGCTGCTCCTCTCGCAACGGGGTTTTTGTACGCGCCCCGCCAGCATTTACTGTTTCAGTTGGAGGCCCGTGCGTGCATATATACGTTGGGTGTGACGACGCGCGACCCGAGACTCCCATTCCTTAGAGAGACTAATGTGTATTATATGCAATTGCGTGTGTGCAGAGTCACTTGACGAGGTCGTCTTTTTGCTCTATATGATCAATATTTTTTTACGGTTCCGAGCATCCACGGGTTCCCAGTAGTTTTCAAGGTTGGTGAGGTTCCTTTCGTCGGGTCTACATTTTCTTGGCTCTGGAAGATTACGAGGAGGAAGGAGGTGGTTCGAGTAACTACAATTTACCCCATTTGAACTAATTCAAGCGTAAAAAGAAAAAAAAAAAAAAAAAAAAGGTCGACTCATCTCGACCATTATTTCTTAAAATCAATAAAAGTGCCCAATCATAGCTCATCCCAGGCAGCGTTACGCAACACCCACGGTATATACAACCCAACGATCCCCTGAACTCGGAAAAAAAAAAAACGCGAGGATAAGAAGCAGTGGACAAAAAAAAAGAAAGAAAAAAAAACCCCTCAAGAGAGCTCGATTGTTTCCGATGTCCATTTGGGTGAAACGGCAACCGAAAGGTGGTCGGTTTCAAGGCCATTGAAACCAACCCCCTCTCGGTTCCACCACCCGAAAAGTAGACACGCGCTCCATGTAATGATGCTCTGTTACTTATATATATATATACACATCGTCTCATCGTCAGTGATGTATTACGAGAGACGACGCCCTACTTAACGCCGTATCGCGCGCAATGGGAGAGTTTCTATTATATATATTTTTCTCTTGATATGTATGCTGTATTGAACAGAAAAAACAGGGCAACTAGCGTTTTACCGCAAGCGAGTATATTTATCCATTTGTCGTGACAGCACATCAGTTATACAGGGAGAAGAAAAATCCCGATACATCGGCACACGTGTGCGAGAGTAATTTTGCGGAATATTATTTTTCCCCACCACCACCGAGAAGCCCGTTCTCCTGAGATTGCCCGTTAAACGCCGCGAATGAGATTCGTGTCGCTTGTTTATCTTTTCGGGAAAACACTTTTCTTCGACGAACGTATCCAATCAGAAAAAAAAAAAAAAAAAAATCACAAGTCGATTAACTCAGAAATTATTTCTCTAGATGAGCACGCGCGTCCTGGAGCGATGATCCATATTCATAGCTATATTTATACGTATACTTGCACGTAATTTCTCTCTTTATAGATATACCAACATCGAGAGCCATGTCCTTTTGTTCCTTCAAAAATTCAACGCGACGCGTGTACGTAAATTATTTAATCGTCAGTCAATAGGCTCGAGAGTTTGTCCACGGCGAAGCTTCATCAACAACAGCCTCTTCCCCCCAAGCATATATTTCTCGTAATTTCATTGCATACGTGTACAAAAACTTATATATTTTTTATGAAAAAAAAAAAAAAAAAAAAAAACCCCTATTGCTCATACACCCGCAGAGTTTTTTTTTCTTTTATGAGCGCCTACTAAAGCGTAGCCGCGTCACCCTTATATACATGTCCTCGCTTGCGTCCCGAGATTAATCAATCAACGACACGAGCGAAAAATCTCTCAACATCAAGCTTTCGTTAGCTTATACATATACATGTACATATTATATATACGTGGTATAGCAACCCTCGCACTCTCGAGAGGCCCGTATACACACTCGGACGTGAAAGAATTGAAGAGGGATGGAGGAAGAAGAAAAAACAGTACAAGGGGAGTCGGGGTGAATAAGGCGCCACTCTCGGGGGTTGTGCACGGTGGCGCCAGCATCAGTCGACAGAGATAGGTCGTCGAGGGGCGGCTGCTCAGTGTCAGCGGGGACTCGGCTCTGGCCGCTCGATATACCCACCCCTTGTGTTCTACGCACACACCTGGATCGTTTTTCGGGACAAAGTGTTGTATTTTGTGCACGAGTGCGGGGAGAGCCGGACCAGCCGAACGCACCCCGGGGCCTTCACTCCCCGACAACTGAAGCAGCAACTGCTGCCATGGCCGGTGAGATGGCCAGCGAAACCCGATACAGGTATGTTTGTGGTTGTTTTTTTTTTTTTTTTTTTCTTTTTTTTTCAAGAAGATTTGTGTTCGTTTCCGGGGTGGGGTACGAGCAGGGGAGAGCGCGAAAGAGAGCTGGCAGGGAAGAAGTAGAGCGCAGGGGTTGGCGGTCATATGGCGCGAGGGATAGGAACGACTTATTTGCTTCGAGAGGAGGGAGAGTGTTTACACACGACGGAGGTGTAGCCGTTGAACTTTTTTTTTTTTTTTTTTTTTTCATACAGGAAGGTGTGCCCTCGTTGTTTTTCGTGTGAAAGTAATGGTAAAAAATGGCACCCACCTCAGCTACGCCGTCTTGGCCATCCATGTGGGTGAAAATTTGAGGATTTCGAGGACACAAGTAGAGGGGGGAGGGGAACGAGGGGTTCCGAAGGGCGCGAGAGGGAGAGTGTTACGTGACGGATTGCGTGACGCGAGAACTAGGGTGAAAGGGTGGGGGGAGTATCGGAATTCCAGAAATGCAAGCTCTACAGTCTTGAATTTTGCTAGCCCACGAGGAATCGGTTTTTTTTTTTTTTTTTTTTTTTCAGAAGGCAGTCGCAGAAATCGGCTGATACTGTCTGACCACGACGGTCTTCATCTACTGGACGGGTGCATAAAATATTACGTTGCGCGCGGGGCTATTTGTGTACATATTATGTGCTCGTGTGGAAATGGATTAGTAATTCAATTATATTTTGACTTGAGAAAGAGATTTTATTGGTGTCAAGTTCATAATGCAAATACCATATTGTTCATCGGATGAAGACTGTTTGCTTCTCCGTCTGGAGTTTGTCTGTGACAAACAAATTGTCAAAGTGGAATACTAATATATGTTAATCGAGTGCCAAATTCAACGTACCAAGTAATTTTCAGTATTTAAAGTATAGATCGGAGATATTAAACGTAAAGTTTGGGAGGAGGGGAGCGCTCGGCCTGGAAAACGGGGTATAATGGACCTTCGGAAAATTCGATAAGAGCACGCCGTTATTGAGCGCCGTATTGGCGCGCTGTTGCGTATTCGACATTCAATCTAGATGGGACGGTGGTTCAGCTGTGACACGTAATTCGATGAATTTTGTTGAGGGTTTTATCGTTGAATATTGACGGTGAAGAGGTTCGCGCTGAGCGCTCGTGTGGAATAAATGGATTTCGTGGTGATGGCATATTAGACTCGAAGGATATTATAGTGACTTTACTGTCTCGATGAAGTTACTCTCTATGTTCGTACAAGCTGAAAAACGGGGCATAAAAGGAACTTTCGAAAAGAATTAGTTTTTTTTTTTTTTTTTTCACTTTAGTTGTAAGTTATAAAACAATTTTTGTAAAAAAATCAAGTTTTATACACGATTTCATTTCATTTTGCACATTTCAACGCCACCTGATCTATTTCTTACAAAAAAAGTAGCTTGGGATTTTCTTGTTGTATTTCTTTTATTAAATTTGCACTAACATCAAGGGAATATCATGTACTGCAAGAAATAATAGTAATAAAAAGTCGCACAGGCATTAAAAAACAAAAATTTATTTTCAATGAAAAAGATATTAGTAAAAGATAAAATTGAAATTTATCGATTTTCAGCAGCCATGATAATTGCGTTTTTGTAAATATACCTTCGGCTATACGTAAATGATTTCATATTGAAAAAAAAACTCGAGTCCCTAAAAACTTACAAAAAAAAGTCTGAACAAAACTTAATTATATCTTCATATGTTCTTTGCTTGGTGTATACACAGGACGACGCTACCGGCGACAGGTCACTCGGAGGTCAATCTATGCTCGGTACTGTCCCTGGGCAAGGACCTCAGCAAAATCACAATGCCGGTCATGTTCAACGAGCCGCTATCTTTTCTCCAACGAGTCGCGGAATACATGGAATACGCCAAGTTACTCAAACAGGCGGCCCTAGAAACCAGTCCACTTGCGCGGCTGCAGGTGAGTTGATACTCTATATTTTTCGAGTAATTAACATTACGTGATTTTTTATTTCCGTTCGGAATAGGATTTATAACGGGTCTTCATAAAAGACGAAAGATCAATGCGATTGTCTTGATAGGATTCTCGCATTGCAAAATAGATAAATCGATGATAAAAAAAAAAAAATAAATAAATGCAAGAGAGTCCTTGCTTACATAAACGAGATGTACACGCAATCCGTTGCGAATTTTCAAAACGCTTTAATATTTCCATCCACTAAAACCAATTCTTTGATCCATCGGGTAGGAGTTAGGCACGAATCAGCAGTAGAGCCAATGACGAGGATGCAACGATTATAATTAGATTTTTATCTAATTAATGTTTATTTCGAAATGCTGTTGATTAATGTTTTTGGAAAATATGAGTAAAACAAATTAAGTACACATTTGAACCACGCAAATTATATCATTGAGCGTTTATTCAAAAAATCCAAGTAAGTAGATCACCACTTTATCGTTCAAAATTCCTTTTTTAATTGTGCCAATAAAGACTAAGGAATGGTGAGCTGCTCCGTGTCGATGCATTTCTTCACATATTCGAATACATAATTGTGGTGATAGTCCCCGCGATGTTGCCAATTTATAAAGTAAAAGCAGTGCTGAGTGTCCATTTCCATGTGGTCGATGCTGAACTCCTGCCCTTCTTCTCCAAAGTAAGTAAATAACCCGACTTTGGTTAGCTGAATGGAAGGCCCATAAGACGGAATCCTTACGTACACGTCAGTGGTCGAGCATTTGCGAGGATAGCACTTAAAGTACATGAGGATCACGCCGCCTTGGCGCAGATTGAATAACTTAATCATCCTGTGATACCGTGGCAAGTAGAACTGAATATCTAACTTTTTTTTGCCCATCGCATCGTATTGCATACAAGTGACCTCTCCGTTTAAATTGGATTGCCTGTAGCAGAACGAAAAGTACCCATACTCGTTCGACTGTACTTGGACACCCAAAGCAGATCTTATCAAGACGTCATTTTTAAATAGGACCGTTTCGGTGCCATCGTTGCTCACGTGACTGACGTTCATCTGATATTCATGGCCTTTGATTTTCTCATAGGTAGTGAAATAGCCACCACTGCTCGAATTGTGCCGGTCCACGACCATAGCGTACCCCTGCCTGTAATTCTTTGAAGGAAAGGGCACTGGTTCGCCAATTTGCTCTCCTGAAAACAGTAAAATAATCATCTTTATGATAATTTGAGCATCGACGCCAAGTTTTTACAAATTTGTAATTACCATCGTGATTGTATCGGATCATGCAGGGGCTGTGCTCTTGGCCGCACTTTTCCTTATTTTTCGTGGTAACGTGAAAGCTGTTGTCGTACACGAGGAGGTGGTAGTAATCGTCGTCTGGAAATTCTAGATGATCGGATTTGCAGTTGTTCGTGTCGATTAGAGTAATCCGCTTATTTTTTGAGGTTTTGGTGCCTATCAAATTCAACTCGAGCATAGTTTTGTTTGCCATTATGCCGTAAATATCACCAAATCCTTCGACAAATGCGATACTCACGTCGCAATATTTTTCGACTTCGTTCAGCATCTTCAGTTTGAACAAGCAGGTAAAATCGAACGAATCTGTTACGCCCCAAAGAACGGATACAAGGCTTTGGTTGAAATTTTTACCAAGTCTGTGGTCAAGCAAATAGCCAGGCGTGGAATAATTTTTAGAGACGTCCTGCTCTTGGACTGCTATCGCAGCATCAAACAGTATGTATAAACACACAAGTTTTGAGAACATTTTACCTTCAAATAAATTTTTTTTAACAAAATAGCCAGCTTAAGGAAAATCATTGTTAAAATTAGGACTTTGATTTTTTACTATTCTATGAGTACAGTTAATTTACAAGTTAGATTACTTGCCTCGTTCGATTATTTGCCTTCAATAAATAAAACAGCAAAGTGCTTCGTTTTAAGAAGTTCTTACCTGATTTACTCCTGACACTTGAAAATTGTCGACTGACTCGTAAAATACTCGACCGGCTTTTATATGTTTTGGACTCCGTATGCGACGAGGTGTTGCTAGACCACGTGACCTGCATTGAGCTATAGTGTCAAAGTATGATTGGTTCGTAATAATTACTCCCCCACAAGACCAATTTGATATTTATTTACAATGATAATTCATCGCCTCTCATTAAGTATGAATTTTTTTTAACAAACATTTAAAAAAATCATACTGTAAAATTATAATTTTATTTAGTCATATGGCGCGAGGGATAGGAACGACTTATTTGCTTCGAGAGGAGGGAGAGTGTTTACACACGACGGAGGTGTAGCCGTTGAACTTTTTTTTTTTTCTTCTTTCTCTTGCCGATTTTTCCCCGAGATATATGATATACACCGCGATTAATGAACGCCCCCGGAGCTGGTCGCGCGTGTCGATGCCCATTGTTCCCCGACACGGCGGGAGCAATAACCAGCCCGCGTTCCATTCAGCCGTGACCACGGGATGTGTGTGTGTGTGTGTGTATGAATTATGTTTCGCTCAAGGTTTCTCTCTCTCTCTCTCCGCGTCCCTCGTCGCGCGGCTGGAAATTTGCTACCCGATACCGATCTCCACCCGACGCTTTGACAGCGCGCGCACGTCTACTTGACGTTTTCTATCCGTGGTTTTTTATCCTCCACAAAAAAAAAGGGAGGGAAGGCGGGGCACGGGAGTTTACACATAAATTAATAAGATTTGCATCTATCAGCCACAAGAAGGGGAGGGCGCGCTTTGCTCATTATGTGCTAAGCAGTTTTTCGCTGTTGAATGCCAACGATGCGTGAGCTCGAGAAACATATTGCACACATATATATGTGTATAAGAAGTATATCGAAGAACGCTTCGACTTGCACATGTATATACATANAATGCCGGAAATAACAAATTTATTAATTTTAAAAATTTTAACTGTCACTAAGTTGAAGTTTATTTAATTTGAAAATGAAGTTATCACTGTAATAAGTTGCGTTATATAACATAGTCTTAAAATGATTTCTTTGTTGTATTTAAATTATTTCAAAATTTTTTAAAAAACAGTAACAGATATGTGTCATTGTCAGATCATTGATTTTGATTACACTTTATCAATCCTGTAGGAAGTAAAAAAATTCGAGCAAAAATGCATACTTACTTCCGACAGCGATGTTCATTTAAGGAAATAAGGAACAATGAAAAACAAAAATCTATTAAAACAATATTTTTATTTATATTATCCAGTACAATTATCACAATAGTTTAAGGATGTTTATCACAGATAGTGTTTTCTGTGGGGTCTTCCTAAAATTTTCACAGTATGTTCGTTATGATGTTAGAAAATCACATGTAAAATTTGAGATCCTTTCACTACACCGATTATTAGATATTAAATGCCTAAAAAACTCCATTTTCATAAGAAACTTTATCGAAGAATCGCATGAAAATTGACATGAAAATGTCAATAAGACATTTTTGCAATAAAATAAAAAAAAATAAGAAAAACAAGTTCAGGTCTTGTACACAGGTATATTCGTATCCACTGAGATTTTTTAAACATGTTTTTTCCACTGCAAAAGATTTTCGATTATGGACTATTGTCCGAGTAAAATTAACTGTTTTTTGCTAATAAAAATTTTTTCCATTTCCTTTTTTTTTATGTTAAGTACATGAGATCTGTTAAATTTGTACTCTTTCCAAGAATAATCCTGAACTCTTTAAAAATGTATTCATCTTGTTTTTTAGTTGTCGGCGACAGGAAGCTTTTATCATAGATATTTTCTTGAAACTTCAATATTCCTTTGTTCATATAATGTTTGGGAACACATGTATATTAAGTAAATTGTTATTTTCATTCAGCCATGTCACAGCTGATTTTAAAAAACCAGAGAATATAATTTTTTTTAATTCAAGATTCTTACTATGGAAAAGTGTAGGTTTCACTTAGGTACTTTACATAAAACTTTTCGTTTCAATCAAAGAATCGAAAAAAAGTTTTTATTTAAAAAAATATACCGTTAAGAAATTTTTTAACAACAAATAATTGGCTACTCTGACAATAACAAAAAATTAAAATATCTATTTGATTATAAAATGTGTTAACGAAAAATATTGATCATCTAGACCACGACCCTGTATCATTGAAAAATGTTTTCAGAAATCCAAAATACTGAAAAAAAACTTTGGTAGATCCTTTCTAATTCCATGGGACACTACCTTGTGTCTTAACTATAAGAACTAAAATATGTTTCAAATGATAAAAAGAACTTTTCCTTTGAACTCCGCGAATCTCACAAGCTATATTAGCATTGAAACGATTGACAGATTACATTGAAGTCCTAAGGATTTGATGTTGATTTTAATTTTAATGAAAATATTTACAGCACGTGTAAATCAAAAAAGTTTCACCATACCTATACAAACTTAAGGAAAGGTTCAAACAGTCGAAGCTCATATTTGTTGCATGAACGTTTTATCATTGTTTGCCTAACATATTATCTGATAATTTATGATTACTGTTTTTTTTTATAAGCCCCAAAGGTTGTCGACACGATTGCGTCCATACATTATAAATGTTGGCGATAAGATTTCCTCGCACTCGACTCGATAATCCATCTACTTCCGTTCTTTTCGATATAACTTTCTATTTAAATTCAATATTTAATTTTCTATCTAATAATATTAAGCTTTGTTCTTGCCAGAAAACTGTATACACAAAAACGCCGAATATGGACAATCGTGCCCTTAGTCGTTGCAAAAGTCTTTAATCGAACATCAATCTATAAAACTACCCCACAATTGAAATATCTACTTTATTTTGAAGTTAGCTAATTATTTTTACCCCCGAAAACCCTTGAAACAATGTTGGTAAAAATGTCGTCGTTTTCAGAGGGTATCTGCGTTCGCGGTAAGTGCAATGGCCTCGAATTATGATCGCCTCGGAAAGCCTTTCAATCCATTGCTCGGCGAAACCTACGAACTGCAACGCGACGACTTCCGGTAAGGCCCAACTTGGCATCGTTACGTCATAACACGCTGACAAACCAAAAACCACACGGACAAATTGTCCAACGAATAAAGTTCACACGCTTTCCATCTTCCAGCATAATATGCGAACAGGTGTCGCATCACCCGCCAGTTTCGGCGTTTCACGCGGACAGCGACGACTTCATCTTCCACGGCAGCATACAGCCCAAGCTCAAGTTCTGGGGCAAATCCATCGAAGTCCACCCCAAGGGAGTGGTCACGGTCGAGCTCCCAAAGTGAGTACATCACGCGCGGTAGAGAGATTTTTTTTTTTTTTTTTCGTAGAGTTTTTCGATCAAACTATAACGCCAACAGGTGGAACGAGGCGTACACTTGGCAGAACGTCAATTGCATCCTGCACAACGTGCTCGTCGGCCAGATCTGGATGGAGCAGCTGGGCGTGCTCGAGATCAAGCAACACGGCGGCGCCAATTTGAAGGCCGAGCTGTCCTTCAAGAGCGCCGGCTGCCACAGCAAGGACCTCCACAGGGTCGAGGGCTTCCTCGTGGATCAGGAGTAATTTCACATAATATATATACGTTTTTCCTTTGGTTTTAACAAAAACATTGAACGCTCGTTCGTTCCCCAGTCGCAAGAGACTAGCCTACTTGTACGGCAAGTGGACGGAGAGTTTGCGCGCGTGCGAGGCCGCGTTGTACGAGGACGCGGTCGAGCGGATAAAACGGGAGAGGAGCCCGCAAAACAGCCCGGGACATAAAAAGGTCCTGGCGAGGTTGTCCAGTTTGAAGGTGGGGGCGTTCAAGCCGCTGCATCAAGACGCGATAGACGAGTCCGACCTGCCGAGTGACGTGGACGGGGTCACCGTCGACGAGATACCCGGGTCCACCTTGCTCTGGGAGGTTACACCGAGACCGCCCAACAGCGCGGATGTAAGGCTCCGTTTGATGATTCTTCCGGAAGGCCGGGTCACTCGTATCTGACTTTTCATTCCATTGGTCGCGGTTTTTTTTTTTTTTTTTTTTTTTTTTTTTTTTTTTTTTTTTTTTTTTTTTTTT